GTGTAGACCATCATCTCTGATTTGAATTCAGTGTAGACTGTCATCTCTGATTTGAATTTATCGTAGACCATCGTCTCTGATAGGAATTTAAGGTAAACCACCGTCTCTGATTTGAATTTAGTGTAGACCATCATCTCTGATTTAAATAAAGTGTAGACCACCATATCTGATTTGAATTTAGTGTTAGACCATCGTCTCTGATATGAATTTAGTGTAGAGCATCATCTCTGATGTGAATTTAGTGTAGACCATCATCTCTGATTTGAATTTAGTGTAGAGCATCATCTCTGATGTGAATTTAGTGTAGACCATCATCTCTGATTTGAATTTAGTGTAGACCATTATCTCTGATTTGAATTTAGTGTAGACCACCATCTGTGATTTGAATTTAGTGTAGACCATCATCTATGATTTGAATTTAGTGTAGACCATCATCTCTGATTTGAATTTAGTGTAGACCATCATCTCTGATTTGGGTTCAGTGTAGACCATCATCTCTGATTTGAATTTAGTGTAGACCATCATCTCTGATTTGAATGAAGTGTAGACCATCTTCTCTGATTTGGGTTCAGTGTGGACCACCGTATCTGATTTGAATTTAGTGTAGACCATCATCTCAGATTTAAATGAAGTGTAGACCATCATCTCTGATTTGAATAAAGTGTAGACCGCCCTCTGATTTAAATAAAGTGTAGACCACCCTCTCCGATTTGAATTTAGTGTTAGACCATCGTCTCTAATATGAATTTAGTGTAGACCATCAACTCTGATGTGAATTTAATGTAGACTATCATCTGATTTGAATTTAGTGTAGACCACCGTCTCTGATTTGAATTTAGTGTAGACCATCTTCTGTTATGGATGTACATTGTAACTGTAGACCAACATCTCTGATATAGATGTAAGTGTAGAACGCAATCTCTAATATTAACAGTGTAGACAATCCATTATCTCTGATATGAACATAGTGTAGACTACCAATAGTAGACCATTGTTAATATTAACCCATTTTTGATATGAAGTTTGGTGTTTCTATATTTGAAATCTAACACAGGAATCTAATAGAGTGAATACAGTATATTTCTTAACTCCAATATTTCAGTGTGTTTTAAACTCGAGAAGTAAATTTGTCAGATTAACATTTGCTGACATTTTGATAATCTATAAAGTTTCTTTTAATATCTTTGTAGTATCTAAAATCATTTGGGGCATACTGACAAGTACATCTGTACTAATTTATCTTTGCTTGAAAATGTTAAAACTAAAAATAAATTTTTGCCTATTCTTGACAAAATTTACGTCTGAGTCGGGTATGTATGACCTAAAAAAAGTACCATATGAGAGTACCAAGATGTGAGTAGCAAGTAACACAATTTGCTGTATGAGAGTGGTAAAAAAGGCCTATGCGAGGGGTCAAATGTATTCTTCACAAGTGGCAAAAACAGTCCGAGAAAACAGGTGTATGTAAGTAGTGAAAAGAGTCATTTGCGGGTGGCAAAGTGTATAGCAAATATACACATAGACTAAAATATAGATTGTCCGCCAGGACTGGCTGTCAACTCTTGCATATATAGTTTGAGTGTGTTTCATCATGGGTAACTATAATTCTATGATTCTTTTATCCGAGACCATAGATTCATACTTATTTCACTGAAACAAAGAACAATTTTTAGATTTGATGGAGTGTGCTGTTTTATGAATATACCTTCATGTACAGTCCCTCTATCACTTTGAGGTATGTGTGAGGCTCGAAATCAGTACTCTGCACCACCGGAATGCACCGACGCATTCCCCAAAGTAAGCATTGCGCGCCACCTAGTTGCGCCACCATTCTGTGCCGTATTCTGCACCCCTCATTCTGCGCCATCGAAAAAATTCATACCTCACTTCACGTGCGAACAAAACACATCAGTTCTATTCAAACTACTGAAAGAACTTATTGATATACACACCTAAACGAATAATAAGAAATCCTCAGCACATTGTCAACCATACACACACCATTTCCTAACAAATAGAAATTTTTGATTTTACGTCAGTAAAAAATGTGGTCATGCCTATAAAAAGGTATCCCTGAGTCATGCGCCACCAATTACGTGAAAAAATGGTCTGCGATTCAAAAGCAGTCACACCTCGCAAAGGTGTTAAATTTGCCACATTGGACATGAAAACTGTTACTGTTGTAGTTCGTGTGGTCAAAGAGGTAATTAGCACACATTTCTGAGATAAATCATTGACAAAAAATGATACGTGAAGAAATAAAAAGCATGTTGAAGATGGAACTAATTTTCAGCATTTGCAATAATTTGGGGACAATGTTTGTCATCGACCAATACCACTTGCGGCTACTACTAGTATCTAGGAGTATCATAACAATAACTACTAGTATCACAATATAACAATAGCATCACATCCTTTGCATTGTGTAAGTTTCCCCTGTGCTAATTCAGCATTACATCACGGTTGCTTGAAATCGATGAGTAACATGGAGGTAAATAACAATAAAAATAATATACTTTCAATCTTTTTATTTGAATAAATGATACTATTATACTTAAATATTTATTGTAATGCAAGATTTATCCAGCAATAATTACACAGTGCTACAATAACATAATACATCATTGACGGTGAAAATGCGATAACGATGTCCATCACGCTGTGTACATTTTCTCACTAGACCTGGTACCATTTCAGCAATAGATCTAGTACCATTTCACCACTAGATCTAGTACCATTTCACCACTAGATCTAGTACCATTTCACCACTAGATCTAGTGCCATTTCAGCAATAGATCTAGTACCATTTCAGCAATAGATCTAGTACCATTTCACCACTAGATCTAGTACCATTTCACCACTAGAACCAGTGCCATTTCAGCACTAGATCTAGTGCCATTTCACCACTAGATCTAGTACCATTTCAGCAATAGATCTAGTACCATTTCACCACTAGAACCAGTGCCATTTCAGCAATAGATCTAGTGCCATTTCACCACTAGATCTAGTACCATTTCAGCAATAGATCTAGTACCATTTCACCACTAGAACCAGTGCCATTTCAGCAGTAGAACCAGTGCCATTTCAGCAATAGATCTGGTACCATTTCAGCAATAGATCTGGTACCATTTCACCACTAGATCTAGTACCATTTCACCACTAGACCTGGTACCATTTCACCACTAGACCTGGTACCATTTCAGCAATAGATCTGGTACCATTTCACCACTAGACCTGGTACCATTTCACCACTAGACCTGGTAGCATTTCACCACTAGATCTAGTACCATTTCACCACTAGACCTGGTACCATTTTACCACAAGATCTAGCAGCATTTTGAGCAAGTGCTACTCGCACTGACAAACTACTCTGTGTCCATTTCAACACCTATAACATAGATATGCCTGTTTTCCTGTTGCTGTTTTTGCCACTCACAAAGAACACTTTTGACCCCTCGCGTAGGCCATCTTTGCCACTCACAAAGAACACTTTTGACCCCTCGCGTAGGCCATCTTTGCCACTCACAAAGAACACTTTTGACCCCTGGCGTAGGCCATCTTTTCCACTCGCAAATGATACATTTGACCCCTCGCATAGGCCATTTTTACCACTCTCATACAGCACATTTTGCTACTTGCTACTCGCATCTATGGTACTTTTTTTTAGGTCATACATACCTCTCTGAGGGTTATAGTCCTAATAAGCACTATTGTTGTCATGGAAACTAACCTCATGTATCATTCATTTCAACCTATTCATGTATTATTCATAATTCTGTTCTTCATTCTGTATTATGTATAAATCTGAAAAAGGTTTCTCAAGAATCTAAAATTAATTTTAAGTGCATTTTTTTTTTTATAACAGAGCTTGACATAGCTAGCAAAGAAGTGAGAGTGTTGATAAATAAGATCCAGAACAACCCACAAGCATTGTCTCTGTTATCTGATGACGAAATGAATGAACTCAAGTCAATGGTGGAAGAAATCATGATGGAACTCAGAGAGGAGATTGAGATGGAAGAAAAGGTCGACAAGTCTGAAGACTTGGATACGGAAGAAAATGCTGAGAGTGAGTTGGAAGAAGAGAAAGGCTTGGAAAGTTACGGTATGTAATGTGATACAAGTTTGACCACTAGAGATAATTCAATGGAGTGTATGCTTCGTTTACATGCTTTAATATCTACCCTCTTTGTTCATCAGCCATTTTGAGATATCGGCCACCACGAAAGCCGTTCATCGGTGATGTTTCAGCAGCTGGGTGATCTTTTAGTGTTGCAAAAACAATAAAAACAGTGAAAATGCAGTAGTGAAAACAGTTTTTTTTTTCAAGAATATGAATTAATAAAATACAAATTAGCATTGGCAGGTTTGGTGAAAATTTCATGCACACACTACAGTTCTGAGGGAGCTTTTTAGAAAGTATATAAACCTGCCCAGAACACTGTCACATCCAAGTTATGCCCAGGATAGATATTCAAAAAACTAGGGACTCATAAAAATTTATAGTTCCTTAGAATAATTTAGGCACAGTAATTTATACAACTGAAGCTTCTTGGATCTGGCAAGCTTTACTGACACGGGGTCAAGCAGCTATCCAATTATGAATGTGAATTTACAAATCATATATGGTAGTGATAAACTTTCAACAACAAAGTATTGAAGTCATTCAAGCTGTCAGTGATGCTTTTTATTCTTTCTTTGTTGACTGAAGAAATGTTCTTATCTGAATTCATTGCTCTAAAGCACTGCTTGCACTTGCATTTACCGGTATGTCATGACGGGAAAAAGAATGAAGTTCACATTTTGTTGAAATTGTCGCTGGTGCATATGTTGCCATATCTGATGGGAATCAAAATTCACTTGACAACAATGATTTCCAAGCATAACAAAAATTCGTGCTCTGACCTCTTTCCCATATTTGTCATCTTCTACCAAATTGTTACATTTTCCACTTAAAATATGGAATTAATTTCTTGTTGCGTATCCATCATATACATATCATAATTGAGTTTGCCATTCGATAAATTATTGTATTATCAACATTAATTTCCAGTTATTTTTATGAATATTGAATAACATTACATGCATGTTTTAAATTGTTTTTTGGGTTAAAAAAGTTCCTCTTGCATCCTGTTTTGGATGAATTTTGTTAGAGCCATTTCTCAGACATGGTTTGACTGATCACACTCAACTTATTGGGTTATAGGTGCACCTCATATTTGTTTTCAGATTTAATTGAAAGTGGCCAACTGGTGGCCATTTTGTTGTTGTTCATGTCTATGCCAATTATTCAATAATATATCGTCTGATTCAGTGGAAAGATTGTTGAATTGACAGTCATTTTGTCCAAAATCCTAAAATTGCAGTCTTTGAATGTGTTCGGATTATTTCTTACAGATAGACAGGGCTTTCTATCGGGATCCCCACACTGGATCACTGTTAGTGATGGAATTTGGCATTAAATATAGAACGGAGACTGCATTGTCAACGCTTGTTTTTATTCTCTTGACTGTAGTCATAGTGAAGAATCTGCTCATATTTATATATATTCATCACTAGTGATGTGAAATGTTTTGGTATTTTGTACATGATCATAATTTCTCTCAATATCGTTTGAAAGTATATGGAATCCCCCAATTTTTAGTTTTCTAATGATGAAGCCTGTCATACGCTGCTTAATTAGTTTAAAGTATCTTTATTTTAAATATTTTATAAATATATTTGAGAATTGAAAAAAAAAAAAATTATAATAATTTTTTTGTTTCGTATTAACAGGCATATTATGGTTTTTTGTAGATGAATTAGTTTATGAAGTGTTACCAGACGAAGAAGTTGGAGAAAATTTGGCTGAAGTCTATGTAGAACCACAACAAGTGAAAAAGAGCAACTTGGAGTCTACTGGTCCATTTCCCTCTCCATCTTATTCTCCAGAAGAAGCAGATACTACAGAGAATGAAGAATCTGAAGGTGATAGAGTATATTATATAACAAATTAAACAGTCTAAGTTTAGAGGTAGTCAGACTCTGCCGTATAATGAGAATATTTTGTACTGTAGAAGGCATGTAGATCAGCATTTGGTGGAGATCGCTTTGTTTTGTTTGTGATTTCCTCAATTCTTATCTGTTTCTTCACCAGTCTTTCTCGCCTAAATTTGTCTGCACTTTTTTCTTATATTCTTCAATATTTCTCAAAATGAACACTAATATTGGCGCCAACAGGAAAAATTTGAGTTGATTTTCAGTTTTTACTAAAAAATTTGAATAAATTTCGTTTAAATTTTTTGAAAAAAAGTGCAGACTATAAACAGGGCTATTGTGTGATTTGTGATAAAAAGAGGGAACTGATGGTGAAAATTTTAATCTGGGCACTGAAACAAGGTGAAATATACAGATAATAATAATAACTTTATTGCATCCTTAGAATTACAAATGTTCTATTGGTTTACAGCAATAAATATATAAGTTATTAAAATAATATCAAAGTATGATAACGTAAAAAAAATAGAAAAAAAGAGTCAAGGTATTACCGGTATATTTAAAGAAAGCTCATTTCTTAAAATGAATGATTTATGTAAAAATTCCCCTAAAAGTTTTATTATATTTCTGTCATTACTTTTCATTATATATGATATGATATGATATGATATGATATGATATGATATGATATGATATGATATGATATGATATATATGATAATGGATTCTGTAACAATGTAGAAATTGTGCTACAGAACATGTTCTACATGCAATAGAAGGAAACAGACAGAATATACATGGACATGTAAAATAAACCCTCACTAAATTTCAACTTCATAATCACTTCCTTGATTATTCAAATTTCAGTCATGATTTCTTCACCTATTTATCATTGTTGACATTCCCTAACTTAACCATGTTATTAAACGTCTTTGTTGATTTTAACAGCAACAATTCTAGGCCATAGTGGCCCATGGCACTAATGTGTTATGTCTTATAAATGTATTTATTACCTTGCCTGTACCATCAAAGATGGAAGGGAAAGGTATATTAAGGGAAAAATTTTGTCCGGCGTTGTCGTCGTTGTCGTTGTTGTTGTCGTCGTCGTCGTTAATAATTGTTATTGTGTGCATAATAACTTTACTAATTCTATTCCAAACTTTATCAAACTTGGTCACCTTATTCATCAGTATAAAGTCTTCCTGAGTTTGAACAACAGATGTCCTGTATGAAAATATCATGCAAGAATTGAGAAAATCTGATAAAATATTTTGACTGTTTCTACTTGTGATACACATCAAAGGTCACTGATCTCAGTGGAAATATGCATTGTTGTATGTGTTCAATGAAGCAAATGATTTATCTTGTAATAATATCCTTGGTAATGTATCTCAGAATCCCATACTGGGTTTCAAAACCAACTCATGGAGAGATTGCACAGTCTGATACACATTTGCAAACCTACCAATAAAATCTTTACAGAAAACAAGATGTCAGAAAATCAATATAAGCACTCCTATGAACTGGGTGCCTAACTTTGATCAAGATCTGAAGCTAATAGAAAATCTGTTTAGTTCAAAGTTATCAAATCAAAAACAATACATAAAAAATACATTAAAAGCAAAACATTTCATCCACATTTTAAAAAGAAAATTATTCTAAAATATATGTATTCTGTATTTGACAAACAGT